TCTCCTTGGCTGTCGCATCCTCCCGCAACTCCGCTCTGGGTTTTTGCCGACGGGCTCTGGCCTCGAGCGGCGCCTCCTCCAAAAGCAATTCCTCCAAATCATACGTGGCATCAAAGTTGGTTTTGTCGCTGGAGGGTCGGAACACGGGCGGGACTTCCTTCTGCTCAAGCGCGACAAAGTCGAGATCGGCGAAGAACATGTGCGAAGTGAAACTCTCAAAGCTAATCGCACCGATCCGCCTCGACCGGTCTCTCTCCATGAATGCCGACATTGCTCGCAGGCAAGGAACAGAAACCGCGGGGTTTGTGACGTAATACTTCGGTTGCGCCTTTTTGATATTTTCGCTGAGGACATCCTGGCTCCGACCTTCGAATGGGCGCTAATGAGAGTCAGCCTCGGCCGTTGTCAATCAATCTGGGGCGACCTACCTTGTTATAGATACACTCGTAAAATGTAACTCCAAGCGACCACCAGTCGACTTCGCAGTAGTATCCGCCGCCTTCGTATACTTCCGGGGCGAGATACGCCAACGTTCCAGATTTACTCGTCAGAGGCTTGCCGGGTCGGAAATCGGAGGCAACATTCTGAGACCGGTCAGTTTCAAAACCACCGGACTGCATCCGAGCAGCGGACTTACAAAATCTGCCAAGTGGACATGTCCCTCGGAATCCAACAAGATATTGTCCGGCTTGACGTCACGATGGATAATTCCTTGCGAGTGGATATATCTCAGAGCACAACCCAGCTCAGCTATCCAGAAGCGCACTGCCTCCTCTGTGAAACATTTCCGCGAGATGTGGAACCGCAGGTCACCACCATTCATCAGATCCACCACAATGTATCTTCTCAACTATCAGCGACTAAGGACGTGGGGAGGGTCGAGTTGGGAGAGCTGCTGCAGGACGCACATATATTCAATGTCTTGGAAACTGTATCTCAAATTGCAAAGGAACGCATGGTTCAAGTGCTCGAGCATCCGCCGTTCACGGATGATATTCCGTACGCTTTCCGACCGAACCACTACATGTCGAAGTCATCGTCAGTGGGAGTTGATGCATGTCCAGTGCAGCAACGTACCTTCTTCTTTCCGAATGTACTTTAGCGCAAACGTCAACCCGGTGTCTTTCTTCTCCACGATGCGGACCTTGCCGAAAGCACCTTTGCCAACCACCCGCAACAGACGAAACTGGTTCAAATTCACTGCGCTCCATTGTCAGCACCCCCACGGCCAATTATCCTCTACCGAGCGCGCCCGACGACACGCTTGACCAGAGAAAGACCAATACGCACACTCATCGGTGGGAGCCACCTGCTTCCCTTGCGAGTTTCCCATTTAGAAAGTTGTGTAACCACAGACGCTGAAAATCTTTTTTCTGAGTCACCTCCGGCAACATCCCATTCGAGCCACGGCTAGATTTCGACGTCGAAGAATTGATGCGAGGGGTAGAATAATCTGCAGGGATCGGAGGAGGCGGTCGAGGAGGACAGGGGAGGGGGGCGAGTTGATGGGCGTCGGAGGGTAAGGGAGAGGAGCTTTATAAGAAATGCTGAGACGTGGACATCCAGGTCTAGACACGATGAGACAGGTGTTAGCCAGCAGCAAAAGAATTGCGGAAGATGGCGGTGGTCTATTGGAACGGGAGAACGTGGGCGGAGGGGCTCATTTTCCCGAATGGCAGGGGGATAGCCTTTTTTTCAGGTGAAACCTACCCCGATGAAGAGCGATGACAGCCGAAGCCAAAAGGTTGAAAAGTACAGAGAAATCCCGACGAGGACAACCAAACGGAGGCCTGGTCGGGGGAGAGAGAAGGGGGGGCGGAAAAGAGTAGGCGATTATGGGATGGAATTCCGAGCCAGACGTGAGAGGAACGGGGCAGCCCCTAAGACGGAGTAGTTGATGGTTAGTTCTTTCTGACCAGCAGGCGGGCCGAAGTAAGTGTGGCCTGTAAGTAAGTCTGGTCTGTAACTCCAGCTGCGTTGAGGGATGGGTGGATGGGAAAAGGAATCATCCCATCTGGTGGTTTTTTGGGTTTGATTTTTACTTTTTCTGGTCGCTCACCTGTCGTTGCTTTTTGTTTTGCTTCTTCGCCCTTTAGCTTTGATTCTGGAACCCAGCCAGAAGAAGTCCCCCGATTCCGATGCAAGGCGAGACAATGAGAGATAGCGCCAGGCTCAGGACGGAGAGAATAGACGAGCACGAAAGATGAATCACAGGAATAATAGTCAGGGAAAATAATACGAGGCGAGTTGGCCCAGGTGACGGGATTAAGCTATGGGGGATTGCTGGGGTTTCTTGGGTCGACCTGGGTAAGCGAAGAGAAAGTCTGGAGAAATCCAAGATGCAGCGATGGATGGGAAAACCTTCCTGTCGTAAGACACGGTATTTACCAGTTAAGTTACCAGTCCTGCTTCACTACCAAACTAAGGAGCTGGGAATCTCGCGGCGGTGAAAAGAAAGAAGCAGCAGCAGCAGCAGCAGCAGCAGCGAGACCGGTGGTGAAAACACTGGGTGAATAATAATAATAATTTTATAATAACGATGGAACTGGAAGCTCCCCTCAGGTGCTGGGTCTGGATGGGGACTACAGAGAAAAGGGGATACTACTTAATACTAACCCAGGAGAAGTGCCGCTTGGGCCCACGAGGGAAAGGCGCGCCGGCAAGTGGGAGAAAAGAGAGAAGAACGAACTTAGAACTAGGCCGGCGGCGGTGGAGAGACCGACAGAAACCTGAGGCTGCTGGAGCGGGACTAATGACATCTGGACTTTGGAGGGGATGCCGAGGAAGACGTCTGGATTCTGGAATGAATTGCTGCATCTGCGCCTACTGCCAGTACTAGCTCCATCGATAACCCAGACGGCCGGATTCGACTCATAGAATCGACTAGTTGGCTGCCACTAAAAGGCAAAGAAAAAGCAATCCAGCCAGCAAACCTTGCATCGTCCTTTCCGTCCAGAACGGTACTTTACCGCCCCAATACCGATTATACCGACTATACCAACTGCGTCCTTCAGCGCAGGCAAGGAACATCCATCGAAGCACCTTGTTTCGCCCACTAATCCGTGATGCGACCGAGACTTTGCTTTTCCCTTAAAAATCCCTGTCGCCTCTTTGCTTCTTCCTCTCGGTTTCTTTGTCCCTTCTCCGCCTCCTAAGGTTCCTTCCCGTCGATACGGTACATACCGACAACTTCTTCCCCCCCTCCCCAAATGGTCCATCGTCCCCTTCGCCGCGTGCATCAGTCGCCCAGGCGCCTGTCCATCCAATCCGAATGGCCCCTACATTCCAACCGGGGGCCAGCACGTCGGGCCTGGTCTCTGTTGGACCTCCTTGAAACCTTCCGCTCGGTTGTGCGTGGCCACATCTCGTGGCCGCCACGTTTTTGACCGACCGCACGATGGCTTGGACAGTTATACCAATGATAATCTGTCGCCCAGCCTTGGTGCTGATGGAGTGGCTGTTGGGGCCAGAATCACGACACTTGCTGCATGATGCATCGTCCCATCCGCTGATACGGGTTTCGCCGGGATAGTTTCTCGCTATTCCGGACAGGTCTCAGTCTCTTTATCCTCTCAGCGGCGAGATTGAGATGTCTCCTATTACCACGAATAGCTCACAGATCATCGGCGCTGGTTTGACTCTGGCGCTAGTTGCATATCTATCCCTGTTCGACCTGGTCTGGTGTTTCAGGTTTCGGTGGCCTGGGCGCCTGCATAAAAATGATCCCGGTCAGGGTAGAGGGAACCAGTGTGCTCCAGTCTACATTTTGTGCCACGCAATATACGCCGACCAATCTTCTCCGTCCCTACCTATCCTTAGGTTCTGCCTGCAACAGCTCGAACTGACCGCCGCCATCGTCCCCAAGACCTCGTATACATATGCCAGAGATGACCACTTGACGTATCGACCAGCCTCACTTCCTGGTTGACTCCCATCCGCAGAAGGTCCAATATAATGACATCCCAACCTGCTGATGCTAATTGATTAATCCCACCGCAGGATCATCCACTTAGCGGAGCGGGTCCGACCCCCAAGTTCTTTTAGCCCAGAGATTTGGTGGATCCGGCGCCCATCCCATCCAGCTTCGTCTCGCCAACGGTGCTGATCCTATTAACCTAGACAAAAACGGGCTAGGCTTGGTTGCGTAGGCTCCCGACACCAAACTTAGCTTCCCCCTGCTCAGTCTCGGCATGGTGGCATACCGCCACTAGATTCTTCCGTAGCCCGGTTTAGGTGCTATGGTTGAAGCGCCAGGTTGGAACAGGCCACTGAGGTCCAGCCCATAGGGATGGTCTTAATCTCTCTCAGTCTATCTCACTCACTTTGGCAAAGGAGCGGGTCTGGATCCGAAGCAAAAAAGAAAGATCAAAAATATGTGACAAGAAGGGGATTCGAACCCCTGCCTCTTTCGAGACTGCAGTACGACCTGGATGAACCCAAGTAAGTGAATAAACACTTGAATGCAGCACCTTAGACCGCTCGGTCATCTTGCCTTTGATGACTAAGTCGCACGTTTAATGGTAACTCGTGCAAGAAAGGAAGTGGCGGCGAGACTTCCGACCTGTCATATCTTCAGGTTAAAGTTCAGGTATCCGTCAGTGTGCCGCGAAGGTATTCGGAGCATTACTGGACATGTTCTACATTCCACCAGAGGTAATTTGGTAGTCTATTTTAATCGCCCATTTAAACAGAGTTTTTAATTTGAGTTTGCCCATATTTAGGCATGTCAACGCCTCCGGAGATGGTAGTCGGAAGGCTAATCCAACATTCCGATAGCGACTACTCTGAAACAGTCAAAAGTACCTTTAGTTGGGCTTGTTTCTTAGCTCATCTGGAACTCTGACTTGCATCTTGGGCTATGGTCTCGCCCCTCTGTAGCATTTCTGCATAGCCCATCCTATACAATGGCAGCATGGAAGGCATCATTCCCTCTATGTATTTTCACACGGCAAACTTTGTTATTGTGTTATACATTAAATATTGCTTGTAATTCAACAATAGGCAAGATGGCCGAGTGGTCTAAGGCGCTGCACTCAAGTTGATCATTCACTTGTCCAAGAAAATTGGATGTATTGCAGTCTCGAAAGAGGCGTGGGTTCGAGTCCCACTCTTGTCATAACTTTTTGGTCTTCACTCATATTTCCATTCACTTGTTTCTTCCTTTCTTCTGTAACATTCACCAACCATCCCTGACAATTCTTGGAAGGAAGAGGGGGTTGGTGGTTGTCTCTTTTTTTGCACCGTACCCTGATCTTACCTCGTACAAGGTCTGATCCAACGTAGGTAAGCCATTTACGTGAAGACCCATGACGAAGTCCCTCATCGTCGATTGTCGGAGCCATTGCGGACAACCACGCCTGCATGATGCAGGCTTACAGCACAGGTAGCGCATGGCTAGCTAGTGCATTAGGTCGGAATAGAATTGGATGGGTCCCTTTCTACATACGGAAGGGAATGGTCACCGCTTCTTCGTTCCATTTCCCCGGCTGACGACGCCATCCTGGTTGGGTTGTTTTGTGGGGGTCATGCAGGGATCGGGGTTCTGTTGATAGGGGTCAGGGGTGCATGTGTGCTGTGTATCTTGCTATCTGTCATATATGGTGGATTGGGTTGGTTTGGGGATGTACTCCGTACCAGTGGTGCATTTGATTGTGAATTGTTGGTAGTGGTGTGTCTATCTTTAGTCAATTAAGAGGCAGTTTTTAATATGACATCACCAGAAATTATAAAAACACCTTAGTCGCTGAGCCAAGGTGAATCAATATGTGGAGAAATAAAATGGCCCCCACCCCCTGCACTATCCAGACCACTATACTATACCTATATACAAATATGGCCACCAATCAACATCATCAAATGACCAACCCCCCAGAGGTAACCTTCACAGCACTCCCTCTCAACTCAACCGTCTCAATCTTCTTCTCCTGCCCCCCAGCACCAACCGTAACCGCCACACTGATATCCGATCTCCTTCCCATTTCCACCCCCTGCACGATATCAAACTCAACCGTAGCCCCAGCATCAGTACCCATCAAAGCCAAATAGCTCGCAAGTCCACTAGCCGCACTGCCCGTAGCAGGATCCTCAAAGTTCCTCAGGAACATACGCGACCGGATGACCTTCTTCCCCGTACTCTCATCCAGCACACCCGGAACATAAAAGTAAACCACAATGAGCCCAGGACCCTCCCACCCAGGATCCAGGTATCCTCCCTCCGAGACCGACTTACAGGGAATCACCTCCCCGCTCACCGGACCCTCCGTTGCGGCCAACGCCTCCAAGCTAGGCAGCTCAACGAGGACCTGACTCATGCCCTTCACAATAGAGAAGACAGGGAAGCTATCTTGACGACTCTGGTTAAGGAACGGAACCAATGAAGGATGCAGCCTCAACAGTTCTGAGAGCGCGAATCGCGATGAGTGGACATGCACATTATGTGCGATTTTGGCCGCCACGGCACCGGATTGTGAGGATAAGACCCTCGAGATGGCGAATGGGCCGGCTTTTGTGATTAATGTTTGAACGTTCTCCTTGTCGGCTTCATTGGCGGAATGTTCTAGGAACCAGGAGGCCGCGCCGATGGTGGGATGGCCTGCAAAGGGGATTTCTTCGGCCGTGGTGAAGATGTCGATTGTTCGGGAGGATGGGGATGATTTGCTGGTGGGGTGGATGAAGATGGTTTCAGAGAGATTGAATTCTCGGGCGATTAGTTGTTTCTGTTCCTGGGTGATGGGGGAGGAGGAAGGTGAGTCGGGGAGGAAGACCACACCCAAGGGATTGCCGGAGTATGGCTGGGTGGTGAAGACATCTAGGGTGGCGAAGCGGAGTGATTGAACCATGGTGGCTCTTGTTCTCGAGGGATATGCGATATGCTTTTGAAGCTGGGATATAAAAGAAATGATATCGTCTGGTCAGATCTGGGAAGAGTTCTGGTTCCTGAAGTATATCCGGACGGCGGTTAAGCGAGGAAGTGAATGAGTCATGATGTGAAGGGATTGGGTGCAATGGATGGGCCGGTGGGGAACTCCACGCCCTCCGGACAACACGCCTCTCTCCGGATTGTACGGAAGACACTGCTCGGTTACACCGGGACTGCATAGTGCACAAGCTGCCATAACTTCCTTCCAGGCCCAGACGGTGTGGATTAACTCCCCGACAGTTGTTTTTGAGCCCATGGAACGCCAACAACCCCAAACAGCGACGCGCAAGTCGGCGGAGGGGTTTGGGTCATTCATGCGATATATGCTATGCCAGAAAGGTACAGTGGCAACTGGACCTCTGTTTCTTTTCTTGACCCCTTCCTAACAGTGAAGATAGATTCAATGTGATGCAGCCAAGCCCAAGTGTGATTGGTGCTCCCATCAGAATTTGCCGTGTACCTTTCTTAGGCGTGGTTCCGCGAGTCCAAAGAGCTCAAGGTATGTGTTGGTGCTGGATGGCATTCGATGCACTCTTTGAACAATACAGATCTATAACTACCCCACTAGTTCAACCGATCTCCCGTTGCAAGATCAAAGCTACTCGAATGGCCCCTCCCTTCCCGCAAATCAAGGTGAGGACCTACCAGCTTCATTTCACAACCACATGGCATCTCAACTGAATGATCTTTCTAAGCAGAAGCCTTTCCATCCAGTCGAGTACGGCTCTCTCATGATCGAGCAGCAGAAACATGGGCCCCTACCTTTGCTCGGAATCTGCAATCTGCAGGACGCCATCTGGGCAACATCTGCACGTTCAATGGAGCGCATGTTTTGTCTAGAAGCAGCCAAGAGTGGATGAAAGCATGTACAGGGGAGGAGCTTCATCTGGATCGATACCATATTGCTCAAGTCCCTTGGTGGCAGCATCCACTGCCGACAGATCCAACCCTCGAGGGCTGCTCTTTCAGCAACCTCAATATACCAGACCCCGCCTTCCTATATGAAGAGCTAAAGCACTACCAGTCATCAACATTTGGGCTATTTTTTCCAATCCTGGACCCCTCCCTGTTAGAGAGCACCGTGAGGGCTGCATACTACCAGGGGAGCTCTGCGGCGTCGCCCGGCATAAGCAGTGCCAAGGCGTGCATATTTGCCTTTTTCGCACTTGCACCTACCGTAGTCCATAAGCCAAGACTGCAATATCTCAAATCCAGCCTCGAATATGCCTGTGAAGCATACCGTCTTCTACCCGAAATATTCAATGAGCCGGTCAGCTTAGACGGTCTACAGACACTCTTATTACTCGTGAGCCAAGATGCGATTTTTATATCATTGATGCTCTGTTTTTATAACTAACATCATCTCTAGTGTCTGTGCTCTCAGGGACTCGCTGGGGATTTTCTCACTATCGACCATTTACTCTCCACAGCCTCGCGATTCATTTATCATCTCAAAGCGAACCTATCCCCTCGCACAGTCTGGGAACATCCCACTGCTCTTGCTTATCACGCGAGGCACCTCTTCTGGATAGCTTACATATGTGACAAGGGTTTTAGCTTGGTGACAGGCCTCGCTCCAGTCCTAGAAGATGCTCAATGTGACCTCACACTCGCTGTTATGCCTGGTGAGCCCAGCCAGCCGGACGGAAAATTTCATCTGTACGGGGACCCATACCCAGGTTCTTATGTCGACATATATGCCCGCCTAGCTGTAATCCAATCGCGAATTTACCGTGATCTGTACACACCAAGCGCTTTGAGAAAGCCTGACGCGGAATTGCTTCGAACTATTCGAGACTTAGACGATTCTATTGAGGATTGGAAAGACGCCATCCCCCCGAATAATCGGCCCTCTCTTATCACCACTGCGCCGCAGGGCTCCGATATGCGATACTCGGTATTTCATCTGCAATATCACCACTGCATGATCATGATTCATCAGGCCAGCAGCCGATGTGCTTCCTGGGAACAGAATCAAGATACACGAGGTACCAGTTCAAGCCTGGCAATCTCAGTTGCAGCCAGTCGGTCCTTCCTGAGAGGCTTTCTGTATTCTCAGCTTGAACTTGGATCTCAAAACCTCTTGTGAGTTTGCCTGTCTCACCCTCGTCTTTGCATCGGCTACCGTCTAATTATCTACCTGGCAGGTTCACCCTCTCGTACTTCCTCCAAGCCAGCATTAACCTGTTCTGCAAAATACTTTCTCGGCCACTGGATACCGAAAACCAAGAAGATCTGCATATCATTGGCATGATCTCCCAGCTCATTGCTGAACATCACAGGGACTTTGATCCAACATGCTACACGACGAAGATCAAATTTGCTGGGGGGGTTATGAGTGAGCTCAAACGGCTTGCGCAATGTGCCATCGACAAAGCCGGTCACGAACAGGACCAAGCCGTGGGGCCACCATGACAGCGAATCATATCTACCAACAATATAAATGTTCATCGAAGTTCAGGCCGGTCTCTGAAAGCACCAGCCAGCGGGTTATATAATCGGACAGCGGCCTACTGAATTCAGTTAGTGTCATTTTTGTCGTGAGACGATACATCAGAGCATCTTGACTAAGCGGATTCATCCTTTCCTGTTTGGGTGTAGACTGAATCTAGTCAGGTATCTTTGACAATGGCAACAGGCCTATGAGATGAAGAATTACCGTGAACAACCTAGTGCTTATTCCATGGCAAGATAATGGTCGAGCATATAAACTGTCAGGGAAACCGATCCCCGAGGATGATCTCCCCACGCGCTTTTGTGCACAAAACACTCGCATGAGAAGCTGGTCCTAAATCATCAATTGCCCAGGTTTATACATCCCATCCACCGCAATCGACCATGCTGATTAGCAAGCGTTATGCTGCCACAGCAATTGCTACGACCATCCCTTTCACATATGCTCAGTCATACACCGACTGCAATCCATTGAAAAAAGCCTGCCCGGCCGATGCGGGAACAACTGAATCCTATCTGCACTTTGACTTCACCCAGAGCTCAGGTCTAGACCAGTGGACAGTAACTGCCGACAGCGTCACCACTGGCACAGACGGTGCAGAGTTCACCATCAACCAGCAGGGAGATGCCCCGACCATCCAGACCGACTTCTACATACTCTTTGGCGAAGTCTCCATCTCCATGAAAGCCGCCTCGGGCACCGGTATCATCAGCAGTCTCGTCCTGGAATCCGATGACCTCGA